TGGGCCAGGCGAGTTCGACGTTGGCAACGGCGGGAATGGGCACGTGTTATGTTCTCTGATGAGAGCAGATTCCTCATCTTCAAAAACGATGGACGGCAGCTTGTATACCGACGATTTGGTGAACGTTTGGCGCCTAACTGTATCCAACAGGTCCGGCTGTTTGGAGGTGGAGGGTTAATGGTTTGGGGTGGCATATGTGGTGACGTCAAAACGAGGCTTGTCGTAATTCGTGGAAACCTGAATGCACAGCGTTATATTGATGGACAACGTCCAGGACTTGGAACGATGTCTCCTCGAGGAATGGCAACGCATCACTCCCAACGTCATCATACGTTTGACGGCATCAGTCCGTAGGCGTGTTCTGGCATGTATTGATGCTCACGGTGGACATACCTGCTACTGACTTGACTTTGTGACGTGTGGTGTGACATTTCCCGTTGTTTCTGTGATCAGTGCTCTAACGAAATGTTCTTTTTTCGACCCCACCCATCTTTAAAGGCTTGTCATATTGGTTGTACAGATTTTATTGAAATGAAATTTTTGTACAGATGTTGTGAAAGGATTTCTCAAAAGCATAACACCAATCCTAAACTTCTGCATTGTTTAGTTTTTCTTTTATGTTGTTGCAAACAGGTGGTATCGTTTCTTTCGGACACTAGTTTAGTTAATCCAAGCCTACAATCACTCTTTAGTCTTTTGTCTCTTTTTATTAATCTTATAATCCCTTCTTGCAAATTTCGCCAATCATTTATCATAAAGATTTCTTAAAATTACATATTTGATAAAAGACCGTCAAGTGATTTTTACATAGCCTATTAAAATTATGGCATGGAACATTCGATTTCCTCAGATACTAGGCTGGGCTGCGTTTATCTCTTTCCTTTATGCTTCTTTGAAGATAACCTCGGATATGAGGAAATTACGCTGGATATTTCAACTATAAAGTTACAACTGCTTATTAATGTTTATTTAAGAGCAATTTCATATCCATAATTCATGTAAAATCGCCAAACTTTCAAGCAACTTATTGACTGTTTTATTTACAGTCTGTGACATTGTGACCTAATTATGCACAACCATGACGATGGCCCATATTCTGACGCCTCTCATTGGTTGCATAACTATGAGAAAAAGGTGGCTATACACCGCAATCAAAGAGTTTGGTACTTTGATTTCGGGAACTTTCTAAAGGTATTAAAAATTTGTGGGAACTTTTAATTGCGAGTTAACCAAGCATAGTTTTACTTTTCTATGTGAAGCATTGTTTTGTTGGAGCAGACTTGAAACAATACATGGGCACTGAATTGGGGCTAACAGAATCAATTCTACTCCATGTTTTTCTACATTTATTGTATTGTTCTAGTTTTACTTTTAACTCATTTTGTTTGTCTATCGTGTATTGTTGTCTGCTTTTAAGTTCCATTTATAAGACATATTAAGTGAACTTCTGATAAACCTTGATGTTCTCTCTTTTCACTATGTGTAATACTGACATTTACACGCACAAGCTATATTTGTTGTTTTGATTCCCTGATCAGTTGAATTTGGTTTTTCAATAGAGATTGTTATTTTAACATAGCACAAGTATACATTATCATCTCTTATTACTGGTATTATATTTTTTTTTATTTTGTTGACTTTTATGAACATCAACAGAGGTGGAATTAAAATTATTCACAAAATATAGCTTTACATATTCAAAATCTGATGTTTGTAAAAACTCATCACTCATATATCCTTCTAATTTTTGTGGTTCTTGGTTTCTCATAATATTTATTTATGGTGAAGTTTCCCTCTCCAATATCATATCAAATTCTCTAAATCCAAGAGGAACATAATATGATTAACATTCTAAAGTTATCCATATTTTCCACTTGTTTTAATTTCATATTAGTGTTGTTTTCGTCGTTAATTTATAATTTCATAGTTTCTTCATATTTACCACCCTTGATAAATTGAAGAATTTTACGTGCATTAAATCCCTCAAATGGAGCAGATTGTGTGAAGAATATTGAATCAACTTTTACCTTCATAGGAAAAATAATTTCAATTAGAGCTTTTCCTCAGAAATAAAACTGTCCTGAATCAGCGCTATTAAATATGTCTCTAGAATAAATCCATTTTTATATTCATAAATTGTTGATTCACTATTAACTCTTTCATCTTCATCACTCAAATTTCCGAATGGAAGATTGAAATTATATGATTTATTTTCTTCCTTGAGATTCTTTTCGAATATGGTTATATTTTTTTCCTGTTTTAAAACTTCATTAATAATAGTGGTTATCTGTTGTTGAATAACACTATCATTAATATTTTGTATCTGTTGTTGAATATAGGCTTTAATTTCACTATTATCAATATTTTGTATTTGCTGTTGAATGTTGGTTTTGATTTCACTATTATCAATATTTTGTATTTGTTGTTTAATATTTGTTAGTTCTTTTTGTAATATTCAATGTTAAAATTAGTTTCTAGAGCAGTTAATTCCTATTGAAATGTATCAACATTTTTACCTGGAATGTTATCTATTAATTGTTGAACATTTTATTTTGCAATCTTATCATCTAATTGAGATATCTATGAAATTAAATTTTGTAACAGAGTTTTGAAGAATCTTTTTGCATTACTTATTTTATATTCTAAATGGTTTTTATCTACTTCAATTGAATTTATTTGATCCCATAAATATTTCTTGTGAACAGCATCATTATCATTTTCCGGAGATTTTAAATTAGTTACTTTGAAATTGTTCATATCTGTATCTCCTTGAAGTGTGTCTCCAATTTGATCAACAAAATAAGGTTTTTGCTTTATTTATCCATGCTGTGGTGTTAGGTTTTTTAGTATCTAAAGGTAAACCTAATCCAAACTTATTCACCATTTTTATTAAGTTAAATTTATTATAATTTCTTCAAACTGTTTTCCTAAGCTTTCCTGATATAAAACCCAAAGTGAAAACTGTCCACCAAAACTTTTGTCCTGGTAATTGAATTTGAAATGTTGAACATTTGATTGGTTTATTAGTCAATTTCATTATCTCTTCAGTTGGTTCTAATCCAAAAGAATCAAAGAAATAAAGGATATTTAAAGAGTTTTTGTATAAAGCAGAGTGATGAACTCCTTTTTGATCGGAAGTATGTATATCTGTTAAAGCATAAAATTAAATTTTTTTAGTCTTGAGATCATTTATTTCATCTCGCATACAATAATAAAACGGTGATATATTTAACTCTTTTGCCCATCTCATAAGTTGAAAGTTTGTAGTTGTATCATTTCCATATTTATCAAGAAAGCTATTTATTTTTAAAAGTAAGTTTTTTGAATTCGTTTTGGTAAAACTTACCTATGATTTGTTCTTTGTCTTGAACAATTAATTCATATGTTGTTTTTCGAATTTACTTTTATATTCATAAATACGAATGTTTGATGGATAATCCTGTTTTGTTTTTCAAAGGAATAACTCAAGCATATCTTGTATATAAATCAATAACTGTTAAACAATATTTAAATCCTCTTTCAACAGGCATATTAATTATATCAGCTGACCATATTTCAATCTTTTTTAAAT